CATAAGCTGGATGCTGCTTCAGGCTGTATGCTTAGGATCAAGCAGCATACCTGCAGTTGTTGGCAGAAGAGTGGCATTCTGCGGAACATACTTTAAGAAACACTGCTTTGGAGGGTCTGTATCTGTTTTCATCCTGCTTTGCCCCCCAAAAGCAGGTGTTTCTGTACTTCCCCATTATAGCCTGTGGTTGAATTGGTTATCAAATCAAATTGCAAATTGGTTCAAATCTTGAATAACAGGTTCAGCTCAAAACATATTAAATTTTATTCAGATCTTGGTTGATCCACAAACCACCAATGGTTATTAATGCTTAGAAAAGAGGCAATACAACAGCAAGTGGAGTGTGCCTGTCTGGATTTCATTTTCATGTTACCTTAGGAGATTTTGCTTATAATTTTTTAATAGCTTCTTGAAATGGGATGGGAGAGATATTACCATATTACTTTCTGGAGCATAATGTATTGATACTTTCTGAAATGTGTTGAGTTTGGTTTCTCCATTGAAAGTACTGATAATGAGAATCTCTCTCTCCTGATGCTTATCCTGTTACATATAGCAAACCATAACTGGTTTGCTATATGTAACAGGATAACCAAGGCTAAAAGACTTGGACTTTTCAGTGTAAGTGGTATATGGTCTAGATTATGTCCTAGAATCCCTTACACTGCAGCATCCTTGCTTTGGCAGAAAAGCCAAAGTTGAAAGAGTTCCATCATTTCAACAGCTGTTAGACAAGTATCATTAGCATGGAACTTCTACATCTGTGTTTGCCTTAGAAGAGAAATGATTCTCTAATAACATAGTGTGGAGGAAACTGGTATGTGAACAACTGGGTATATAGGAGTACTGTGTGTGAGACACTCTAGTGTAGTAATGAAAAAAAGTGGTTTTGTGTTTATTAAATATTTCTATATTTTTACTTATTTTGCTCTAATGTGCTTTTCTCTGTTCTTTCTAGGAATGGGCATTAATCCCCAGAATCCTCGTGTTTCTGGTCCGAACCAAGCAGGCTCAATGGCAACTCTTAGCCCAATGGGAATGACACAGCCACTAACTCATAGTAATCAGTTGCCCTCTCCAAATGCTATGGGAGCCAGTATACCTCCTCATGGGGTTCCTGTAGGACCTGGTTTGATGTCACACAATCCAATGATGGGCCACGGTTCCCAAGACCCACCAATGGTACCTCAAGGACGCCTGGGTTTCCCACAGGGATTTCCTCCAGTACAATCTCCTCCCCAGCAGGTGCCATTTCCTCATAATGGTCCTAGTGGAGGGCAAGGCAACTTCCCAGCTGGAATGAGCTTCCATGGGGAAGGACCTCTGGGGCGACCCACCAGCATGCCCCAAAGTTCAACTGATCCAGCACTTTGCAAGTCTGGAGGTCCAGGAGGACCAGACTCTTTCACTGTTCTAGGAAACAATATGCCTTCAGTTTTTTCTGATCCAGAGCTACAAGAAGTGATTCGCCCTGGAGCCACTGGAATACCAGAATTTGACCTGTCCAGGATTATTCCATCTGAGAAGCCAAGCCAGACATTACAGTATTTCCCTCGTGGAGAAGTACCAGGCCGCAAACAGCCACAGAGCATTGGGCCTGGCTATTCTCATATGCAGGGAATGATGGGAGAACAGAATCCAAGAATGGGGCTGGCACTACCTGGTATGGGAGGCCCTGGTGGCACACCTGATATTCCTCTTGGCACAGCATCCTCTATGCCAGGCCATAACCCTATGAGACCACCTGCCTTTCTGCAACAAGGAATGATGGGACCTCACCACCGGATGATGTCACCAGCACAAACAGCAATGCCTGGCCAACCCACTCTAATGAGCAACCCAGTAGGCATGATTCCAGGCAAGGACCGAGCTCCTGCTGGGCTATACAGCCATCCAGGACCTGTAGGTTCACCTGGTATGATGATGTCCATGCAGGGCATGATAGGACCTCAACAGAACATCATGATTCCTCCACAAATGAGGCCACGGGGCATGGCTGCTGATGTGGGAATGGGAGGATTTAGCCAAGGCCCTGGAAACCCAGGGAATATGATGTTTTAAGCTGCTACATAAAGACTGGATGGTTCCAATCCTTGTTGAGATGAGATTCCAGGAGCACAGTTTGATCATGCAATAGGTGAAAACAGACCAGAGGATGCTTTGGAAAATCTCGAATGTATGGAATTTCCTGAAAACAAATGAATTCATTTTAACAGGTTGTTTTTTTAAAATTTATTTTTTAAAAATTATTTTTGTGTACTTGGGTATCCTGTGATGGCACCTGCTTTGAAAATCTGTAGCTGTATTTTGAGAATTGCCATTTGTCACGAGTTGCACCATTCTCTGTATGTTTACGTCCTTCGGACTGGCTACTCCCAGGACTCACTTATCTTTGGGGGTTATTTTTGTGTACTGTACTATATTGTAAAAGGGATTTTAGCAGAGACTTTAGTCTTTGGGGTGAAAGGCTGTTTACTTCTAGGTGGAAAATCCATCTCCAGAACTTTGGACTATTTTCCTTCAACTCCAATCTATAGAAAAACCAAACTACAACCTCAGAGCAGAGTATTAATGAAAAGCACAAAAGGAACTGAAGTTCAGTGAGGGGGGTGATCTTTAAAAAAATAAGTTAAGGACATATTTTTCAAATTATGAGTGCTGTCCAGCACTTTGTCTCTCCCTCCCACCCCTTTACTGTCTCCTCCTCTGGCAGCTGCAATACATTGTATTATTTTGGGGAGTATATCTAGGAGAGCCCCTTCTTGTGCTGAGAGTGTTGCCACTTTCAGGAAGAGGCTGGACTTGGACACTGTTACACTTGAAAGTAGTCTTACTGTTTCTTATTTTCTTAGGCCCCCCCTGCCCCCCCAAGTGACATTATTAACGTGGGAGTGGAACAGACACTAAAAGTTATCCTGACATTTTTGTGGCTTTTTTTTTTTTTTTGTCCCCAGCGTAAAACGTTCTGTGTAACCTCCATTAAATTTGGTACAAAACCACTTGCCAGGGCTGTGGTGTCAGAAAAATAAAATATATTGTTTCTTACAAAAAAGAAATGAATCAGTTTCATAATCTTCTGCCACAATCTAGAACTACCTTCTATTTTCACTTATTTCATTTATACAAATCTGCCCTGTATAGCTAAGTTTTTGTACTTCTGGAATAGTTAATAACTTTTGAGTAAGGATTTATCTAAGATGCATAATTCATCTTCAAAAAGATGTGCTACCTTACCATGCAGAGTTACCAGAAATATTGGTGCCCTCAAAAGGTTTTTCTTGAACAGTTACCATTGCATGCAAAAACTTAGGAAATCATTGAAATATGCAATTTGACAGCATTGCATAAGTAAACAAATTGACACAGCCTCTAGTTGGTATAAAGTTAAATACAGTGCGTGGTCCTTAACGTATCTACGTCCACATGGAAGGAGATATGCATTGGGATCCTTCCTATGCCCTTCAAGGTTTTTATAAATGACTTAGGTGAGGGGATAAAAGGGATGCTTATCAAATCTGATGACATAGGTTGGGGGTGAAGGTTGCTCACACCTCAGATGGCAGGCTCTAAATTCAGAAGGGTATTGATAAGACTTGAACACTGAGGGCCCTTCCCTACAATATGCTATACAGTGGTGAGAAATGTTCTGCACTTAGGTAGGAAAAAAACAGATGCATAGGTACGAGATAGCTGGTACCTGGCTCGATAGCAATCTTGTGAGAAGGATCTGGGTATTCTGATAAAGCATGGATTAAATATGAGCCAACAATATGCTACACCTGCCAAAAAAGCCAGTGCAATCTTGGGCTGCATCAACAGAGGTATAATGTCAAGATCACAGGAAATGGTAATTCCACTTTATACTGTACTGGTTAGAACACACCTGGAATAAAATGTCCAGTTTTGGTTGCTACAAGAAAGGTGCTAAGGGACTAGAAAGAATGCAAAGAAACAAAGCTGGTGAGGGACTTGAACTCTAAATCTTACAAAGGAACTGAGTATGTTTAGTCTAAAGAAGAGAAAGCTAAGGGGAAACATGACAGCAGTCTTCCAATATTTGAAAGGCTGTCACAGGGAAGGGGGTTCAGACTTCTTTCCTGTAGCGCCCAAGGGTAGGACAAGAAACAATGGGTGGAATCTTTATAGAGATCCAAACTCAAAATAAGGTATAATTTCCTGACATAAAAGCTATTAAGCAGTGGAACAGTCTGCCTCCTTGAGTTGTGGGTACTATCACTGGAGGTTTTTAAGCAAAGGTTGGGCAGCCATTTGTCTGAGATGGTTTGACGATGCCTGCTTTGGGCAGGGGGGTGGACCAGAACACGTCAAAGGACCCTATGATTCACCAGTTGAATTGTCTTTCTTAGGCTAAGAATCAGAGTTGGAAGTATCCTTTGAGGTCTTCTGGTTTCCAAACCTCTCAGATTGTGTTCTACTTGCAAGACATTTGGGCTCCTCTAACCATTTGAAATGAAGATAACTCACTCTTACAAAGCATGAGAAAGCTTTTAAAAATTATTTAAATGCTTCCAGCTACCAATTTAAGCTGAGAAAAAATAGCTATATGGAATTGTTGATGTCAGGCAAGATCTGGAAGACCAAGAAAAAAAATCTGCTAGAACTACCTGAAAACTGGTCAGATCTACAAAACAGAATTCACAGATCACTGCAAACAACCTGCTGAAAGGTTTAGTAATATTGGAGTAGTTGTCCGCTGTACACTATTACTTATATAACAATGATCTACGTGGGAGTATTGTCACAAGCTAACCACTTATCTAACCTAATCACAAAAATTACTGCTTGAAGTATGCTATCCCCTCACCCTTTCTACAACACCTCTGGAGGAGCCTGAAACATTTTGGACCAAAGGGCTTTGGACTAATTAAGCATTTTTTTTTTACTGTTTTCCCACAATGACACAAGATATATTTGGTGAAATAAGGGTGAAGCACTTGAAAATAACACTTCCAACTGTGGCTTTATAGAAAATAACACTTCCAATAAGAGTGGCTTTATTATGCTTTGGGGTTGTGTGGCAACCACTGACATAGGAAACACTGTGCAGGTTGAATTAAGAATGAGTTCAACTGAATATCAACACATCCCAGAAGCTAATGTCCTACAGTCAGTGGACAAATGAAACCGAAGAGAGGCTGAATATTTCACCAAGGCAATGATCCAAAATATGCCTCCAAATCAACCATGAAGTATGTACAGGAAAAATCTAAGTTTTTTTAATGGCCTTCAGAGTTCCCAAACAATAGTACTGAAAATCTGTGGGGAAAATATTAAGTTAAAAGAGTTTGGTAAGATAGAGCGGGGAAGAATTCCAAAAGCAAGAATAGTAAGACTCATAGATAACTACAGTAACATTTGAAAACAATTTAGCCAAAGTAGATGTTACAAAGCACTGAATAGAAGAATGTCCAAATGTATGAACCTGCTGTATTCATGGCTTTGAATCTATAAACTGTATATAAATCATAAGTATGCATTCAAGTTTGCAGAAAGATGTTGAGTTCAAATTTGCATTATGTAGAGGTTCTGTCAGCTGTTCACTTAATATTCACTGAAACATTTGATCAGAGCTGCCTAAACTTGCAGGCAACTGTATTTTGAATGTATGCGTATCACCGCTAGCAGTGATACTAAACCTGAGCAGACTTCCCCTATATACTTGTATTCCAGATGTACAAATTTAAACTCTTGAGCGATCTCACTGATCCCATCCAGGTTAAGGGATTCTGGAAACTGAAGCCTGTGTGTCTGGAGATGGCCTTTGTTGCAGAATGCAAGCTAAATGCAGTATGGGTTTACTGAAACCATAACTGATGTAGATCTGTTTTCTCCAGTAACATGTATTTCATGCACTTGGAGCTGCCATTAATGAATCACCTAGACGTTATCATTACTGTCTTGCTGACAGATGTAAAGGTAAATGTTCACGCTGATAATTAATTTTTTCTTCCAGAAAAATTTTCATTAAGTCCTCTAACAAGTACATTGCTTAAACAACTTGTGCCATATGTTTGTTGCCTAACTCACAATATGAGTTTGTTGCTGTGAAAGATACATGAAGCCAGGACTAGAAAACCTTTTTCAGCCATAGGCTAAATTGACCACAACTGAAATAGAAGGAATTGCATGGGAGTTGTGGATATGACTAGTCCACACCACTAAGTTTAACATAAAAATATTCTTTCCTATTCCATCATCTTAGCTGATCTATGGAAATCTACAGGTCAGATGTGAACTTCCTTTTCAGGAAAGGAAAACATACATGCACACACTTACTTCCTGGTTCACCGATTAAAGAAAAAAAACATTTAGGTGTGCTTAAGTCTTGTTTCCCCTTCCTTGGTCTACAGTAGCTAACAACCATGCTTTCATATTTCAGGCTTCAAATGAGAAATTATTTTCAACCTCAGCTTTATTATTGAATGATACAGTTAGGAAAAGGTGTTAAAAGTTACAGAAAGAAACTTTACTATCCATAATGCAGTAGTTTCTAAGAGCTATACTTTTAGGCAGGCTCTTCATTTAAATTAAGATTAAAAACATGTAGGAAGAGGTAATTCTGTGACTATACCTTAAGAAGTTTAAAAATTGTATACAAAGATGATTATACTTAGCTCAAAATGTTCAGTAAGAGATTCAAACATTAAAAAGTAGGCCATGTTCTTTAAGTATAAAAGAGAACTTAAATATATTACTGAAAAAAATGTATTATGAAGAAAGATGTGCTGTAGTAACTGCTCTTTGACTATCCATCAGTACTCCCATAAGTAGTAATGTAATATGCCATAAAATAACTTTCATTCTACTACTTATGCTCATTTCCAGAATGTGAAACTAGCATCCATTTTCACCATTATAACAAGCTTTTGTTGCTATCAGTTTCAGCTATCAAGTTGAAACACAGTGAATAATACATTACTTTTACACTATTTAGAAAGAGTAACAAAGTCACTGTGCCTTCCTGATCAACTGTGTTGTAAAAGTCAACTGTGTTGTAAAAGGGTCTCTTCTGTCTGGGAACAAATCATGTCATATACCAGCGGCTTTGTGCTATATACTGAAAGAGCATTTAAAAAGTCTTCTAGTGGACAGAAACCATCTTTACATCCTCCTGGAATCAGCTCCTATAGTAAAAAAACAAAATACAAAACTTGTTTTTTAAAAAAAATTTGTATGGACGCCCTTACATAAAATAACTTTAGGTGACTAACAAATAACAAAAGACAACACTTCAAACCACCCAAGCGCGATAACAATTCCATTACAGAACCACAAATGCCGGGCTCCCCTCCCCTCCTCTCCTCTCCTCACTTAGCACCAAGTCTGAACAGCCATCCAGAAGGCGAGGAGGATAAGGGCTCTCTGTAACTCAGGAAGAAAGCTGTTACACAAAGAAGGCACAGCTACAGAAAAGGCCTGCTTCCCAGGTCCCACCAGATGACAACATTTAAAAGAGGGAACTAACAATCCAGTGGGATGGCAGACGTTCTCAGGAAAAAGCAGGTAACATGATCCTATGCCATGTACAGCTTTAAAAGTTAATCAGCACCTTCAATTGCCACTGGATAGATTTTTGAGCACAACTCCCAACTTTTTTGGTAATTGGGCCCATTTCAAATTTTGAAAGCATTTTGTGGATGTGCTAATCTCCATGGGAGAAAAAGGAGCTTGCCCATTCCTAAAACAGTTGCCCTGAGCATTGACGGAACAATTCCAATGAGATACAGAACCCAGATGGTATCTAGCGAAGGGTTCATTGCCACATTGGTAACTGCAGTTATGGACCTAAGTTTTAAGGTACATCATTCTTTATTCTTTCTTCAAAAGCAATCTCGTATAGGAAGAGTACTGATTGTTTCCATTTTTAACAAGCAGAGATTAGAATAGAGAGCATGATGGAACTATTTGTCTGTTATATTGCTTGAATATTCAGATGAAATGAGCACAATCTGGCACATGTAGTAGCAGCACAGTATCTATGTAGTAGTAGTAGCACAGAATTTGTACCTCTCCATTATAGATCAGTCGTATAAACCAGTCCTTGGAGTCCTGATAGAGTTCCAGAGTCACATCTGCTGCATATGGAGGCCACTTTGAATTGAAGATTCCCATAGCCATCAGCAATGGGAAGAGTGTAATATCATGAACAGCATAGAGAATGAGCTTCCTAAATGCAAAAGAAGTATAACTTACTCTTAAGTTAACACATTAAATGTACAAGCAATTATTTTATTACATATATATTCATTCCACTTATGATTAGTTTTCATGAAAAGTGATCTAATATTTTAAAACAAAATAACCCACCTTTTGCAAGGATTTCATTCCCACAGTAGCAATCCTGTGAGGTTGTTCCATTTACACAGGATAGCAGTTCTATAAATAACATGATTTCACACAAATAGAAATGACTGAATTAAATCAAGAATGTTTCCATTCATGAAACATTCAAGAGCCTCATGGTAGCTATTGTGAAACAAAAGCTCATGTGACCTATATTAAATATAATTCAGGCTATTTACAAGAAACCTTTAAAAAGTCTGTTCCCAACTTAAAGCACATAAAGACAAACCAAAGGCATTAGAATTGTCATAGTTCTCATAAATCTTGCTTGCATTCCTTATCTGACAAAAGCTTCCTTCAACCCAAAGTTAATCACCAGTGTTTTCCAATGTTTACCCATTTTCCTGACGGCTGTATAATACATGAGTGTTCCATTCTAGCATAAAATTTCCAATAACAAAACCACAAATAAAAAGACCATGAGTCTATGGGAATTGGGTGGCTATGTTCAGTAGCCTATGATCCTTTTCTTCCTCCAAACATTTATCTTCTCTTTTTCTTTCATAGCAGTTGTCTGCACAGCATACCTGTACTTGCTCAGTCTTTTTGCATCATTGTACTGGATGCTACATACATATAGTACAGGTTCCATGTTGCTTCCCTGTAGTACCTAGTCTTCATGAGAGCAATTTGCTGAGTGATGGAGGACATCCTCTCACTCATCCCATGTGACTCACTCTGGGTTCTCCAATCCATGCAGCTCTTTGTGAATCTTATGGAAGGCCACTGGACGCTAGACCTCCTACAGACTACTTGCAATAATTTCTGGATCACACCAATGGATGTTAGCGCTGTTCAGAAATTGAAAGAAGCTGCAAGTGGTCTGCAGGCAACGTTAGTGTCCAGCTACACAAATGAGAGGCTCTTCACTAAGAATAAAAGAGTCACACTGAGAAGAGAAGCCAGAGTGAGCCACATGGCATGAATGAGGCCACTCCATCACCAACTGAATAAATCACTGAAGGCCAGCTGCTGTGAGGAAATCATATTGAGCTTTATAACTGAACTGACCCAGTGAGAAGGAAGTAGGTATGTTGAGTGAATAAACTAATTCTAACCCTGTGCAAAACCCCATCCCCCATTTTGTTCATGTGCAGAGTAACAAAAAGCAAGACCAAAACTGCAGATGCACAAAAAACCTTAAGCCTGTTTTGGTCTCAAATTATCAATTGCAGATAAGAGCCATCTGTACAGATTTTTTACTAGCAAGATGTGTCCAGTGGAATAGTCCATGTAATCTTTGAATACTTCTGGATTATGTATTTTCTTGCAAGTGAAGATAGGGAGACTAATATCTATAATTTACATACGTGGTCTTAGCATCAGAAGGAGGCGGCTCTATTGCCTTCCTAATGTTCTCCTCTATTGCATACAGGAGAGGACCAACAGACATCTGAAGAATCTTCCTATGGGAAAGAAAATATTAGATACTTTCAAAACAAGTCTTGAATATATAGATTCTTTTAACAGTTCTACTGTTTTTGGTTTAACAGATAAGAGAACCTAAAGCAGGCTTTAAAGATATTAGTATCCAACAGATGCTGCCACTCAGCCATCCTATGCTCACCTTGAACTGTATTTTGTAACATAAACAAGTGAGTCAACAGCCCTCTGCTCAATTAGTTGTGCAAAATTCTTCAGGACAGGGCAACTTGGTAAGTCATGTGCCTGAAAAGACAGTATTGTGTGAATTAAGCAAAATACAAGTCTAAGCTTGAAATGAAAAGCATATCACTAGCATGGACAATACACCTGCATTTTTTACATGTCATATCGAGACTGATACCTAATAGTAATTTTGACATACATTTTAGGTGATAGCAAAATGGCACATTTCCTTGGCCCATAATAGAATTATATGGTCAACAATCGAGATATGTTGACATACTTAATTTAAAGTAAGACCATAGTATTCAAAAACAGAAAAATTGTGGCCCAGAAAAAAAACTTGAAGAGTCTAGAAATGTGTGTACTGCAAGTGTGATTTTTAAATATGTTGCAAGGACTTCTGACTTTCCAATGATAAATACCATTCACAACAGACCAAGATTCCTTGAAAAACAACATCTACCACTGATCTTTGCTGCGTAACAAAATGTGCAATGTGTGTTTAGACATTATTTTCAATTTATGGAATAATGGAAATGTTCCAAAAGCCTAAGCAGCTTCCTACATTAACTGACTTTAATGTAAATTAACTGACCTCCAAATCTATCATTCAAAGATTTTGTCAATCTTTGTAAATCAACATAGAAAATAAACCCTAAATATAGAAAAATGGAAGGGGGATTTTAAATTCTGCTGCTAAAGACAAAGTATTTCAAAACACTGTACTTACTAGTACAATGTACTTATTTACTAACCCGGTACTTACTATGGTAGTATGTACTCAGCTTAAATAAGTAGTTTTCCATTTGTTTCTGTGTTAACACCTTTAGAAAAATTTCAACATATGATATTTCTTGGTCCCAATATAGATCTTATTAGGAAATTTTGGGCAAAAATTGTTTAGCAGACATCTGGGCAACTATCCCATCTTGAACTAGAGTGTGGCTTGTCCAGCTTGGTTTATCACATCCAGCAAATTTAAAGGGAAAAACATCTGCACTTTAAAAGGTACACCTTAACCTAACCCAAAGTCCTAATTCATATTAATTACAATATGGGAACTGCTTATGTGTTATTTGGTCTTATATTATAATATGGCATTGGTAAAAAGCTGGACCAAATTTTCCCTAAACTGCTGTCTTCCCGTCTGTGTTTAATTCCTGTAATATCTAGACTGGGGATTATGAGAATTGCATATGAATGACACCAGCTTGGAGAAATCCATCATATATGAAGAGGTACATTTAATAATAATAAAAAGGTTATAAGCAAAAATAGAAATTGAATGCACACGGGGGTGGGGAGAGAATGAAAAGTGATAAAGGCGATCAAGCATTTATGCAGAGTACAGCTGGTTAGAGGATGAGAATAAAAGGATTAAGGTTCAGACTTGCAAAAAAATGCATTTTATGTTGTTTAAAGGAAGCATGATTTCTTCACTTGCTAGAATGTTTACCCATCTTCCTACTTCTGCAATGAAGATTCTTGCATGCTAGATTATAATGTCTTGAGTGTGGGTTTTCCCACAGAATTGTGTAAATCATTTTGATAGCTAAAGAAAACAGGAAGTTTACCTGTTCTGCAAAAATGTTGTCAAGGAGGAGGAAGAAGTCTACTTTTTGCTCATTGCTAATTCCCATATTTTGTTTAATATTCTTCAGATCTTCAAAGATGCCTTGGTGCAAATTCACAGTAGCCAAACCATCTCTGTCAAGGAAAACAAAGTGCTTCAGGCTCTTGTTAAATGTTGCTTTAGGAGTCAGAAAAATCAATAGTAATTTTTGTGCTGGTACCTCTCAAAAAGAAAGGGTTTGGTTTATGCGTCGAGCAATTTCAAATTCACAGCTTGAAAGTATAGTTCTGCATGTTTCAGAATTTGTGTAAGTATAAACCTTTAGGCTATTCACTTCAGTAAGGTGTTTTTTCAGCTTTCCCCAGTAGCCTAAAAAAGATGCTACTGTTTTCAGACTCTTATTACTAAAGTTCTGAAGCACTCTTTCTGCATCATTTTCAAAGCATGTGTGGTTATAGAAGATACTAAGATTCAAAATCAGTTTCAAAAGAGCAGGAGCTCATTCAAAGAGATATAAAACTAAATTTCTACTTATCTTCGTTCAGAAAAAGAAAATCAAAGTAAAAAAAAAAGTTTGCAACATTGTAGTATAAGAAAACACCAGAATCTTCAAGATCGATCCATCCATCCACATACAACTGCAGGTAATCGAGTCACAACGGCAATTGGAACTGGAATTTCCATCACTAAGCAATATGCTCATAAAATGTGATGTCACATAACCTATTGTTTAACAATGGCAATCCCAGCAGTCCCCACTGTGTTGTTAAGCGAGGATCATGGGTCATTAAGCAAGCACCTCCTCACAACTTTGTGTTGGCTTCCAACCACCAAAGTCAGTGGGGAAGTCAGCAGGAAGCTGCAAGTCCCAGGTGGTTCGCAAGCAGGCTGGCAGGCAAGTGGCTGCTGCTGGGTGGGAGAGGGAGCGAGGGGGTGCGTGGGTGGCCAGGGAGGCTTGGGGTGGCTGCTGCCATGTGGGGGAGGGTGCGCGAGTAGTACGGTGCAACTGCAGCGAGGCTTGGGGAGGGTGCACAAGTGGCAGGGAGGCGCAGCACAAGTACGGCAGGGCTTACGGCAGCTACTGCTGGGAGAAGTTGTGCAAGGGTACGAGTGGCAGGGGAGGCGTGGCCTCAGTGCAGTGAGGCTCAGAGAGGGTGGCTACTGCTGGGTGTACAAGGTTGCATGAGTGTCAGGGAGGCACAGTACAATCACAGCAAGGCTCAATGTCCTATTCCAGGTCTCAAACACACACACAGATGCTCCCAGGCATCAGTCTATATTACAAAAGGCTGTACTGGATCTGGATGATGAAGAATGTGCTGAAAGGCAAAAGCAGTCTTTAGGTGTCAAGCCTTCTGAACCCTCTCATCCCATAAGGATGGTACCCTCTTCCAGAGGAGGTTGTTCAATGGTGCTGTGATTTTGGCAAAATGAGGAATAAAGGACCAATAGTAATTTGCAAAGCCCAGCAGGTGTACATTCTTGACTATGTGCGGAGGCTTCCAAGTCAGGATAGCATCAACCTTACCAGGATCCATGGCAATGCCAGTGGAAGAAAGGCAATGGCCTAAAAAGTTGATTGTGGTCTTTTCAAATTCACATTTGGAGAGCTTAGCATATAAACGGTTTTCCCAGAGTCTCCATAACACAGTTCACATGTGTTGTTCATGTTCTGCGAGGAATGAGAGAATCAGAATATCATCAAGGTAAATAATAATGTAGCAGTCCAGAAGATCTCGGAAGACATCGTTCATGAAATGCTGGAAGACTGCAGGGGCATTAGTCAATCCGAAGGGCTTTACCATATATTCGATATGCATGTACTGGGTACAACACACTGTCTTCCATTCATCTCTCTTATGTATGCACACTAATTTATATTCTCCTTTAAAGTTCAACTTGGTAAACACTCAGGCATTTTGGAGGCATTCCAGCAGCTCTTAAACGAGTGGCAATGAGTAACGATTGCACAGAGTAATCTGGTTCAATTGACAGTAATCATTACAAAGTCTAAATTCTCCAGATTTCTTTTTTATGAACAATACAGGAGCCACTGCAGGAGTGGATGAGGGTCAGATAAATCCCTTTTCAACTTCTTGTCAATGAAGTCCCTCAGGGCTGCCAAATCTGGTTCTGACAAAGTAGAGGCGACCTACTAAGATCTTAGTTCCTGGCACCAGATCATAGGGCAATTGTACTGTCAGTGGTGGCAGCTGATCTGCTTCCCCTTCGCTGAATATATCTGCAAAGCTTTTATATTTACTGGGAGGGCTGGGGAGCATATCTCCTCCTTGTTCTGCTGCTAGGGTTGCAGGAATGGCAGCTGTGTGGTGGATACAACAGGGGGCAGTGAAAATCATGATTCCTGTCGACCACACAATCTGTAGATCATGGGCTTGAAGCCACTCCACGCCCAAAACAATGGGAAAGTGAAATGTTGAAGCAAGATAGAACTCAATATTTTCCTGGTGAGCTCCCAGTCACATGTTCAAAGGTGCTGTGGCCCAAACCACTGGACCTGACCGTAGAGGTCAACCATCGATTGTCTCAACCACTAGGGGTGGTTGAATGGCATGCTTTGCAATGCCAGTCTGCTGTGAACTGGAGATCCATGAAGTTGGTTGTAGCTCCAGAATCTACCCTAGCCGTGTTAATAGGGAATTTCCTCCTGGCACTTGAAGTTCCACAATAGCCACTAAGTGTCTGGTCATGGTTACTCGAGGGTTCTGGGTCTGAGTTACAGGTAACTACCCCAGTCTAGTAAGCCCTCTAGGCTGGGCTCCTGGCCCACACAGTATAAGCACAGCCCCTCCCGGTGTCATCAAGTCTTTTCTTCTGGAGTTAATTTTGTGCACCGCCCACCTACTTGAATGGGTTCCCCAGCTGCAGGAGGTGCAGGATGGTGGATGCAAGCAGGTCTGATCTTTTAGAAGCTTGAATTCTGGCCCTTTGTTGCTGTAGACACCCGTCTATATGTAAGTAGAGTTTCATCAAGCCTTGAAGGGTTTCTGGACACTCAGTTTGAGCCAATTTATCAAGGAGTTCATCTGACAGACCTTCCTGAAACTGGTCAGCCACAGCAGCATCATTCTAGTCAAGGTCTTGGGCTAGTAACCTAAAAGCACTGATGTACTCAACCACTAGGCCACACCCTTGCTTCAATTCACAAATAGGCCTGTTGGCAGTCTGGGCTTTCACAGGATCCATGTACATTAACTCTAACTGCTGGCTAAATTCATCAAAGTTATCCAAGCAGAGGGCTCTGCTGCAGCAAAAGAGGTGTAGTCCACTTAGCAGCATTTCCAGTCAATAAGCTGATTACAGATCCTACACGCATACAGTCATTGAGGAAGTCTTCAAGCGTAGACTCATGTAGAGTTTGCATTGTGCAAAGGCGGCTGGAAAATGATCAGGAGAGCCATCAAATTTCTCTGGGATGGCCACTGGATATTTCCTGCATGGAGGAGGAGCTGCTCTGAGATTTATCTTGTGGGGGTGGGAGCAAATGGTCCTATTTCACATTTCATCTCTCTCTCTCTCTCTCTCACACACACACACACACACACACACACACACACACACACTCACACAGAGTTGCTAGGTGAGGAAAGCAATTTATTCAAGGCTGAACAGATAATGGCAAACAAGGAAAGGAATGTAAATCAAAACAGTTTCTGAAAAAGCTTGCTTGAGTCATTTTGCTTTCAACAGGATGATGCAGAATAGTCAAAATCCAGTCCAACATTCAGAGCGCCAGATCAGGTTAGTCAGCCAGTCCAAGGGTCAGAGTTTTCCCAAACAAAATCCACAAGAACTTCACACAAGAGCTAGACATTACTTGGTTGTGTCCAATGAGGGGTTAGAGCTGTCTCTTAAATCAGGCTGCAGCCAGCTGTCCTTAATCAAAGGACTTACTCCCTTGCTTGGCAAGGAGCCTCACAGAAGTCTTTGCTCTGCTCTTTGCTTTACTCACCAGGTGCAGGGGCTGGGAGGCCTGACATCATCCTCATCTGACTGCTCCAGCTGTTCAGATGGTGCCTGTGTTTCATCAGCCTCAGGTAATTCTTGGCTTTGTATCTCCTGAGGCTGACATTCCAGAGTTTCTGCTGGAGACTCTTCTTCAGAGTCAGCATCTGAGTCCTGGGCCATGACACTCAGGGAGGGTGCGTGGGTGGGGGACACTTACCTGAACAACTTGCAACCTTCCCTGCCAGCTTCCCCATTGACTTTGCTTGTGGGAAGCCAGCTGGGAAGCTCACAAATTGCTATCACGTGACCACGAGACACTGCAACTATTTTAAGTGAGAGCTGGTTGCCAAGTGCCCAGATTGTGATCACATGACTGCAGGGATGGCCAGAACCTTGAGGACCAGTTGTAACCACCACTCATTCAGCACTGTCATAACTTTGAATGGTTGCTGAATGAGTGGTTGTTAATCAAGGACTACCTGTATATAGGCTATAATCACTAAATTGGCTTCATCAAGAACAAAAGAATGGAATTCTGCATTATACTCCTCTACTTTTTAGTGCAACTGGACAGTAGTCACCAGGCTTTTTAGCATAGATTTTGAATGTAGATTATGGCATTCTTAACAAAATGGCCATGGAAATCCATAAGAATGCAACTGTTTTATCAGAAGGCATATAGGTGAGATTTTTTCTAACCACTTTCATAGCTCTACAAGATGCTAATTACTACCTCCCTCTTACTTTTGTATGGATGAGTAGGAACACTTAATGTATCACTGGGTTGAAGCCTTCTGCATTTTTCTTCTCCCTATGAATTTCTCTGGGTAAGTAAAGGGCCTAGAAGCATTCCTGAAAATAGGATTATATGTGAGACTGATGCTTTGCAGCATGCTAGTTCCCATTTAATTGCTTTAAATTAAGAGCATATGGAAAACATAGATCTCATAAGACATGGAACATAGTAGCTATCACTGAAAGACCCAGGAACTAAATACCATTGGCTTTCTTTGAATATCAGCATATTCAAGATAAAAGTTGTTAGCTCCCATATTAGATTTTTTTCATATCAGTCCCAAGGAACCTTCTGAAGAGACTTTATTCATTCTCTAAAATGCAAATAGATTGTGTATGAGGCCATTTATAATAGCTGCCCTGGGAGCTATGGTAGTAATTGGTGGAATAGTGCTATGATCTGAAGAGCTAATTAGCCTTTTTCTTTCTCTATCGCTTGAGTACTCTGCAGTTGCTCTTAATACAGAAGTCTGGGGCTCTGACAATAATTATTACAACCACTTGCTGAAGGCTTTTGCAGCTACCTACACCTACCCTATAATGATGGTGAAAGAGGCAAAATAGAACTTGCTCCATAGATAAAGTAGCTGCCTTTGCCCCCATTCTTTGAAGATCAACCATACTCAACAAGCCAAATTTAACTACTATTCCCAATAGCACCACCAGTGAATTTAGGGGAATGCATGCTGCTTTTGATAATGAAGCAGTCTTACATTAGTTATCACCAATCTGGAACCCTCTACATACACTGAAATTATACTGCTTGGAAATCCAAACTAAAATTCATGGCTGACAAAGCTATTATAAGCTGCAGCTTTTGGAAAGATTATATTAGTTGGGTTTTGACATGTCACAGTGTATTCTATGCATATAATGACATCAGTCAGAAATATACTGGCAACTCACCTATACATACGTTTCAGTTGTTGGCAATTCATTGTATTGGGATACAGGATTTCAGATTCTGCTTCATCTGTGACAATGGTAACCGGTCCTGTGTGATAAACAAAATTTGCTCTTTCACAAATTGCAGCATCAAAGATGTAAAGGATTCATACTAAGACATCTTGCACTTCATAACAAGTTAAAACTACCTTGAACTACACTTTGGATTTTAAGCATTTGTAGAATTTCCCATCCATTTCTATTACTATTTGAACAAACCTCAGTAAAGACTTTCCTCTGCTCTTGAAAGCCTACATGCCTCTATTCCCAAGTACCTTACTGCTCCAAGCCAATGATATATTATGACAGCAAACTAAGACGACAAGCACCCATTGTACTAAATGCCAGTAAAATACAATACTTATATTAGCAAGTGTCATCAGATATTTGCCAGAGATATATTCAACTCTTGCATTTAACAGCTCACACCATAAGATCCCCTATGAATTAATTTATATCACAGCATGCTATTGTCTTAAATCAAAATCTTTAACAATTATTATAAATGCTGAGGATATCAAACCAGAACTAAGGTCAGAGGATGCTGTCCCTCCCTGTAATTTTTTACAGGCTTTGAGGTAAAATAACATTTGCTCATGGTAACCTATAAATCCTCAAATGTCTTGGGCCCAGAACTTTCAGGACCATATGTTACCACACAGAATCTGGGTTTCACTGGGCAGCCTTTTTGGTGGGGTTTTGGATAATGGATTTTGCTAATTTTACACCTCATTTTATGATAGAATTTTAACTAGTTATTTGTAGGGTTATTGGATTGCTTTTATTGTATATTTTATTTCTTGTGAACTGTCTAGGGTCTGGTGACAGGGCAGTATATCATTTTTTTGGTAAGAAATAAAAACTAAATAAATATCTACCTGCACCACAAAATATTGATCAAGCAAATAAACTGCAAAAGGTAAACTCAACAATTGCCACTCTGAAGTCCATATGCAACTGTATTTGCCAGTCTTTTTCTTCTTGGAGTCCATTCGAGAAGCCTAAAGTGCTTCTTGGAGAGGTGATTGACTTTAACTTCCATAACGGTAATAATAGAACCATAGCTTATGTTACTGAAGAATGGGAGAAGTTCAACAGCTGAAAAGGGCACCAAGTTGGGAATGGATAATGTATATTATTACTCCCTTAGGCATGCTACTACTCTTGGATAAAATGTAGTTGTCCTGCCAACTTGCTCTGAATCTCAAGGTTCCAAAACTACATCTATAGAACCCATGTGTCAGTACACAAAACAGTATTGTTTTTTTTCCTCATGGCCCATTTTGGAAACTGAAAATGTTGTTCTTAGTCAAATCATGATCTCTACCTACAAAAGAACATCAAGGGCCACCCATCAGCACTGAACAAAATCTAAAAACATATCTACTTCAAATCTCATGACAGCTTCTTCCCTAAGAATTCTAGGAATGGCACCTAACACTCTCCTTTGCACAAAAAAAAAAAAATTGCACCAGCAAAACCACTCTTTTCTCATTCATGGAGAAGAGGTGGCCAGAGTGTGAAATAACAAAGATCACCAGGAAAAGAGCCACCTGGACAGAGTGACAAAACAAGTAGGGGTGCATGATGCAGACATGATATGAAGCAGAATAGAAAACACAGCAGTGAAAAGCTTCCCTTCACTGCTAACCTTCTTTCTGTTGTTGGAACAGCCCAGCTAGCAAACACCGTGTGGACTCCAGATTCCGAACAATATTAGTGGAACGGACGCTGAAAGACAGAAGGTAGCCAGTGAAATGAAGCACAGGTGGCCACTGCTTCCAACATACACTTATAAACAGTATAGATGAGTATTATAAGACTTTTGAAACTGAATGTAGTATAAAGGTTAAGGTGCTGAACTATGAGGGGGAGAGATACAAGTTCTAGTCCATCCTCAGCGATGGAAGCTTATTGGGTGACTGAACTAGTCACTCTGTCTTAGCATAGCCCACCTCATAAGGTTGTTCTGGGAAAAACCAGGTCTTGCATTTTTCTTCAGTACTAGTGCATACCACATAAAATATACTACTAAATACTAACTTACAAGACTTCAGAAGGTTTGAATGATGATGAGAGGAAATTGGTCTCCTCAATGTAACGTTTCCTTAGTCGTTCCCCCAGGGCGAACATCTGCTGCATGCCAACTGTTGTCAACTGCCCCGCAATTACACCTCCCTAGAAAGAGAAAAGGTTTCACTTAAACTGTTCAGTACCAGGCAGGAAAGTACAATGCTTTGGAAGCAAAATATGTTACCTTCAGCACTGTTTTTTTGTAATTTTCTTCATCAGGAGAATATGGCCTCGGTCCACCTGTGAGATTAGTTACTGTGTAGTGAAACTTTGTTTGATCGGGGATCTCCAGAAGAGCAGGATCCCACTCCACCTGCTTCAAAAACAAAATGACAAAGGTCTGGTTTAAAAAAAAAAAATCATAAGCTCTAAATCACTTATATAACCCTCCAGGTCTTACTCAACTTCAGGTATGCTTAACTTCAGCTCAATCAGTCCCACCCAATGTGGTCAATGCTTGGGATGACAGGAATTAAAAAACCAACTATATTGGAAAAGTTTCTACATCTGAGCAAAATGACCGATTAAATGGAAACTGAATTTACTACAATGAACCTTAACACTGAAAATGTTATACAGAAAAGAATGTTAAATATCTAATCTAGCTTTATCTATTGCCCTTCAGATACTTCCAATCTTGGCTATCCCCAACATATTAAGAGACACTGGGTTGGGAAAGGCTCCTACAGACCACTGAATTGTATGCAAAATAAGAACACAGATATATAGTGTACCAGTCACTAGCATTCAATGTAAGCAAGTATTTTTCCAGGAAATTCTCTAGAATCTCCAGGAAACTCCAGAACTAGTGTGGTCTTGTGTTTAAGGCACCAGGCTGGAAACCAGGAAACTGAGTTCTGGTCCCACCTTAGGTACAAAAGCCGGCTGGGTGACTATGAGCCAGTCTCTCTCAGCCCAACTCATTCCTAGGGTGGTTGTTGTGGGAAAATAGGAGGAGGAAAGTGTATTAGTTATGTTCACTGCTTTGAGTTATTTATAAAAATAATAAAGGCTGGATTAAAAAAAATCTAAAAAATCCTTTGTTCCTTGTTCACACACCATCAAAACATGACTATTAGGAATAATTGCACAGAAATTCCATCGAAGTGGTACTATTGCAAAACCATCTGGCAGCATTAATAAGTGGGACTTATCTTAATTTATGGTTCATTTGAATTTCTATTAAAATCTTATAATTTATAAATGCTACTTATTTAAAAGTAAATAAAGTCATTATCCATTCAATCTTTACTTTTTAACTTCATGCATTTGGAATATATCTCTCATTGAACCTTATTTCTAAATACAGTATACAATTTATTTCAGCACTTCATAAATCTATTTATGTTCTCTATGATAGTTTGTATAACTAGATCTTGAAATTCTGGGCCAAGTTTTGACCAGAACAAGGCTTTCCCAGGATGCTATTAAAATAGGAACTGCTGAGAAGGCATTGTACCTTCTTGCCTACTTTATAATCTATGATACAGGTTAAGTGTTTTCATTAAGTCAGAGGTATACAACCTGATGCCTTCCAGATGCATTGGACTGGAAAATATCAGAAGTTCCAGTCCATTATATCCAAAAGATAGCGTAGGAACAACAAATTTTTAACTAACATAGCAAACAAATACCCTCCACCATTATTTCCAGAAAAGCAAGTCAGGTGCAAAAAGCAACTACAGAACCATAAATTCAATATACATGTTAAGAGGGCTTCAAATTGGGGAAATAAGTCAGCTTTTGAATAACTACTTAGAGAATGTATATGTGCAACAATTTAATGCTTTGCAAACACATAGTAGTAATATACACATAGCCCATGAACAAATGCACTGTTACACTTGTCTTTGAGCCTATAAATACTGTGACATTTTTAACCCTGACACTTCTCTTGTGGGTCAGGCCCTATGATACCTTTTTCTTCTTTTTATCAGTTATTCAGTGGGTGAAAAATCATTATGCCATATCAGCAAGTTGAAAAAAAACAGTTTCAAAGTCTGCAGGGACTAGAATTCCCTTTAAAAAACCTATCATATTAGCCTGCAATTCTGCCATTGGCTGATATGTTACTTTTCATAACTTGATTTATGTACTGTAAAAAGAACTTCACCACATGAGAACCACCCTCTGTCTTAGTTGTGCTTCAGCCATGGTTACCGCTAGGCCATTTTGTTGCTGCTCAGCTGATTTTTCAGCATTCCTAAGACCAGCACTTACTACTTCTGAGAGGAAGTCACCGAAGCCGGCATCATCTTTCACAGACGATGTTCGTAAAACGTGATTACTCAAGTAACTAGTAGCGCACTGATCTACAACCAGCCACATGCAGGTGTGCACCATATACCAGCTAAAACGTGGTTGACACCCAAAGCTCTGGAGAAGCTCATTAGATAACCACAATTATCAGTCTCCTTTCCAGGATTGTTACCAAGTTTATTTAGATAACTTGTAGCATTATTTAGTAGCACTCTTTTTAGCGCTCCCACCAGCGCTTTCTCCACCGATCGTATCAGCCGCTGGCCCTCCAGTTGGGAGCGGGAGAAAGAAAGGCGGCGCCTATTTCGCCAACTCCCGCGCTCTCCTCCTCACCTGCTGAACACCCGGGATTGGCCTGAGGGGCGTGCGAGCGCCGTGCCGAAAGAAAACCTGTACCAGTTTCAACTCCGGCCGGCCGTTGTCGCTGCTGCTCTCTACGTCGGTCCTTTCAGCTTCGGCCAGGACACTCCTCCTGCGGTGCATGCAACAAGACAGAGCGCCTACCATGCCTGCCCGAGCCCAAAGATTCATGCTAACGTAAATCAGTCCCTAAAAATCCAGAGGAAGTAGAAGTTCGCTCAAGAGAAGCCGCCGGCGTCTTTCCCTACTTTTGCCTCGGAATGCAACGCGAACCACCGGGTAAAAGCACGTGCCCCCACTTTTATCCTCTGATTCACAATTAACCCAGCTGACAAGACTTCCCGGAAAGGAACTCGTTTAGGAGGGAGACGGATCATGGGAAACGAGGTTTCCTTATCCTTTTCTGTTCCTTCTTCCCGTTGCAAGTAACCGCTAAAAAAACTACGACTCCCAGAGTACATCAGGGCACTTAACGTCTCAGGACGGTAGCTGCGTGTTCATTTTATTTGGTCACGTGGCTGGTGTGAATGGGGGAGAAGGGTGGAGGTTCTTTGGGGCGCTGGAGGTGGGACCGGGGTGTGGGAGAATTTGACTTTGGTTTTAGCGTAGTAATGGCATGTCATTTCGCAGTATAACAAAAGTAGTGGAAGTCGATGGCGTATTAATCACTGATAAATGCAAAAAGTGTCAGTTTAAAATATCATACAAACTGGAACTCTGGTAACGATGTTGTGATTAGTACAACATTCTTATTTTATATCTGGGACAGATGATTTATATTGCATATTAACCAGGAATGATTTCCCTTCTGAAACATGATCACAAATTTAACACACACTGTAATTCTCCTATAGTGAGAAAATCAATTATTTCCCATGGAATCTGTTCACACCTGGATGTATTAAATGATGACAATTGGGTAATTGCCTCAGCACATGGAGGGTGGCCCACCTAAATATTATTCAGTATTTATCAGTGTTTTCTAAGAATTTTTCATTTCATTTAATTGAATCAGTGAAAAATAATGCCAGGACTTATATGAGCCTTTCAGATTTCCCTACATGCTCTCAGTTACCAGACTACTGACTGCCAATGGAGAAAAATCAGTTATGAAAAACTCAGTTCATGTAGGATGCTGCAAGAAGAGAATGGGAAAGCAAGGGGAGATGCTCAGATGGGTGTTATACCTTGGATGTTTAAGTAGGCTCTGGTTCATTTAGCTAAGTCACACATTAATTGAGACAGGAAGAAATTCAAGTAATTAATTTATACATATGAATTGTCCACAGCAATTAGCAGCACCTAGCTGACCTTGGCTGACTTTGAAAAAGCCAAGCAGGGTTAGATTTGGTTAGTATTTGAATGGGAGACCAACTGGAAATGTCGGCTATAGGCTACACTAGGAAGTAACAACAACAAAATCCCAGAAGGCAACATTCCTGCTTAAAACACACACACACACAAACACACACAAACACACACAAACACACACAAACACACACAAACACACACAAACACACACAAACACACACAAACACACACAAACACACACAAACACACACAAACACACACAAACACACACAAACACACACAAACACACACAAACACACACAAACACACACAAACACACACAAACACACACAAACACACACAAACACACACATATCCATATCACCAATAACAGTTGAACTTGACTTAAAAGAGACTTCTTTTATGAAACTGCCCAGAACCATACAGTGAAATCTAATGAGAAATATGATTAGTACTCTAGTTTCTGATGTCAAAGTCCAGTTGTTTTGTTGGGTAATTGTGCAGTGGTAATGGTTAGTTAAAATATTATTTTCCCCCAGGCAAGAATACCCAGAGGAGTCCTCCAGATGGCTTGGATGGAAACTGCTGCTAGGAATTCTGGGAGTTGTATCCCAACATATCTGGAGGGTGGCAAATTGATGAAGAACATCCCAGAAGATTTTTAGAGTCTGGCTTTCTCCCCTTGCAAATACTGATGAACCCGTGAGGTTCTGCTGAGTAATGTGGAAAAATCAAAGCATATGTGAAAGTTTGTTTGCTCTTAGCTTACCTTAAGATGTTAACATGATATTCAGTGAACAGCAGTTAAAAAAAGCCATGAGTTGCACATCCCAAGCGAATGAAAATGAGGCAAATAAGATAAAGCAAGCCTTTAATTCCCCATTGTAGCTTTTCTCAACACTTTCCAGATATGTTGGACTATAGTCTCCATGCTTTGCCAGCCAGCAGGGAAATGGGTATACAGACTGGAATTACAGTCCAACAATCTATCAACCACTAAATTACAAGGGGCTGCTGCTGCACAGTACTCTGAAATGAGAAAATTAGGGCAAAGAAATATGTACCATAACAAAAATATACTCCATCACTAATTCTATTCATTTTGTAAATGCTGGATACAAAAACCTTTTAAAAATCCTAAACAACAAAAAGAGTATCTTAGCATGGGATTAAGTATATAAATAATTAAGCTATGGGATTATTTATATATGTAAAGGTGCTTAAGTGGATATGGTTGGGCAAACATATCCTGGAAGGAGAAGTGAAATTAGGGTCTGACGATTTAACTATGGCATATGCTTCCTAATTCTCTATCCATAGGGTCAGTCAATATACTGGACACAGAAGTGTCATAGGAAATAAATTATTAGACTATTGGGTATTTTTAGGCACAACATTCCCAAAAGGGCTATGCAGCAGTGTGCAAGGGGGGAAACCACTAATCCTCTCCCCGATACATATTTGGGAAATAATGATCCAATCAAACTGGAAGCTTCTGTCATATTTATAGGGCAGTTCTATCCTAGTAGAAAACGTCACCCAAGGACTTCTGTTGTTTTTCATGCCACCTCTTTATCTGTTCTCTGTCTTTTCTTAAGCAAAAATGAAGAGAAACTAGTGGCATGGATGTTGATGAGAGATTCCCCTTTATGTTTTATTCCATTTATCACGTTATGATGGGCCTTTCAATAGCATTTGATATGATTTCAAATTGTAAGTTTTGATGAAAAGTTTATATTAAATTTCACTGACCACTAGAGGGCAATAGAGGGATTTGGAAGTGAATTACAAAGTCAGGTAAGATCCCTTTCTGCTGAAGAAAGTAAAAAGGCCCTTCCATTTTTATGTGGCAGAATATAATGTGCTATTTCATTTCAGCCTAATCTAGTTATTCATGAACAGCATCCATGAGCTTTAAGAAACTCATAAGGTTGAAATGAGTGCCCTTAAACCAGGGATAAAGTAACGATGGAAAACTGGTTACAGAATATTGTTTTTCTCCTTGTAAATAAACAGTTAAGAAAAAGATTTATCAGTTTTACTTTTACAGTAATCTTTTAGTAATGCAGAACAGAATTATTTATTTCTTCTCAAAATCCTTAACTGGGAGTAGATACAAAAGATAATAAATTTTCCTAATGAATATCCAAAAGTCACACAAGCAGAAATCACAAGGCAAAAAAGGGTTCAACCAATTTGTAGAAGTCATGGGGATCAAAAGCAATATCCTTGATGGCAGCGTGACTGCCTCTGAAGGCCATCTGCTGGGAAACTAGTGGATTTCTCTGTGCACTTCGTTGGCCTCTGTAAGAACAGACTGCTGGAGTAGATGGGCCAAGGGTCTGATCCAGCAGGGCACTGCTCATGTTCTTACATTCATTTTTCCCCTCCCCTTCACTAATCTCCTTTGCAATCATGGGGGGGGGGGAAACTTATTTACAACAACCCCCCAAACAGAAAAATAAGTGTCTGGCAGAAAAGACTTCACCATAAACATCTTTTCCATCCCTGACTGGATAAACACAAGACGAAGCGGTGCAAAGAGTTTCCTGGCTACAATCTCCATTTGCTCTTCAAGCAGGAGCTGTGAGTTCAGGAAAACACACAGATTATGGGTGGAATTGTTCATCACTAAAT